CAAATAATATTGTCACTATGCATCACAACATTTGATATCTATCTATATCTAATTTCTGACAAATAATATTGAAAGCATTTTTCTTATTTTTGTTTTACATATATCTATAAAATACTCTAAGAAAAAAGTAATATTATGATGAGAAATACAGGAAATCCACAAACCCTTAATGTGAAGAGTCGTCGGTATGGGTCACAAATTACAATTTTGTCAAACTGTGTGTGTGGATACATGACCATGTGACGCACCCTGGGCACCGGTTGCCAGATGTGTAACGCGCTCCTTTCCGCGGTTTAAATGTTCGGAGTATTTAAATGTCCTCGTGCTGCCACACCCCTTTTAGCTGCATGCTTTGTTTTTCTTGTTTTTTCAGCGTTTTTTTTGGCTGTTTTTGCACATTTCATTGGTATGATACTGCTGTACGATAGTTTAGGCTGCGTTCAGCAGGCAGGCAGCAGCAGCAAGGACGGGAAAACAGTGCTATTGATAAAGTTGTCAGGATTACATATGTTTTGTTTTCAACCTGTTGAAAACCTGGCAATATGTCATTTATATATAAGAAATGCATAATATATGATTTATGATGTATTATGATATGTAAATGACAGGGAACCAGGAGCCTTGACATCTGAAAGCATACTTTTCAGAGAACACTCCCACCTAACCTAACCTAACTTTTACATAAAGATGACCTAAAATTACCTGAACAAGGCCTGACCCTCTACCACAGGACTCCTATTAAAGGCCGAGGAATTGTCTAAGTAGTTATTCACATTTGGTAATCATTGGTATGACCTTTATAGTGTAATGAATGACAAAAACTGCTATTTTCTCAAAATCACATTTTCACGCGTGATAGTAAGGTTAACTTTGTATGTAATTACGTGATTTTAATAATTCTTGCTGCAAAATGATCGTCCAGTTCGTATCTACTAACTGTAGCTAAGTCACGCATTATTTCCACCAAATACATTTTATACTGAAAAAATTAAATGGCGATTTTCGGACAAAAAAAAAACATTGTCGTTTCAGATAGATTTACATAAATGCTACATTTGGTACTCCTATTTGTTGACTAACTCTGGTCAGAAGGAAACTGCAGTACTACTCACTATAAGGAAACTATTACATAATTTGCACGTTTTTTTTTTTTTTAGCACAAAAATTTACGCAGCTTTTTTAAGTAAAAATTTCTTGTGCTCAAGCATCACATATCCATGCACATTGCGTAAAATAATTACTTACCTAGCTAAAAAAACTAAAGCAAGGAGGACCAGAAAATGGATTTCGTGATCGTACCGACGACTCTTCCCCTTGAACCAACAATTTTATAGCCATAATTTATTACAACATTGGAATTAAAACACATTCTAACTAGGTGTACATTCTAAGTCAGTCAAAAGAAAATCTGAATTTATCATCTATAACAGAAATGCAGTGAAATATTTGAAAACCAAAGTACTTGAACATCTAAAATACCTTCACAGGGGGAAACTGCTGATAATTGAAGCTCAGATGCGAGAATGATTCCACTGAAGTGAGGATCTGATGCGAGGTTGTGTAATGTTTGAGATTGTATGAATATTTGGATTTGCCTTCAACCAACAAGTGGGTGAATGATCTTAATTCTGGCCCTCCGGCTTTCAAATGTTCAGTTTTGTTATATCTGCAAAGACAGCCAAAGACAAATGAAGCTTAATCTTTATTCAGACTTTAAGTAATCCTGAAAGGTTGTAAAGTATCAAGTGCATCCAGCAGTACTACAACAAGCTGAACAAACCTCCAGTGATCATGAAGCTGTGTGAATCTTGACACTCCAGTCTGTGCTGAAAAGTTATCAATGTGGACACTGACATTCACATCCTGAGGAACTATCTGATGTAACTTTTGTACAGCCACTCCACCTGGATAGTTGTTGGCCGAGATGGTAAGCAAAAAGGTTGTGAACACCACATTACCCACCAGGTGCAGTGCTGACCCTACAGCCAAGAGCTGACGACTGGTAGACTTGTCTCTCCCTTCCCAGCTGTTTGTGATAAATCATTTCAATATGTATTCGTAGCAAAAACTAAAAACATGTTCAGATATAGACACACAAAAAGATATGTTCCCTACCCAGAGGGCCTTAAGATCTGCATGAAGAAACATTGAGTATAAAAGATATATTCACACAACTTATGAGAATATATAATCATAATCCTTACAGAAAATGGCATGCTCTGGCAGCAGCAACATTGAGAATGGGGAAGACGTAGATAATGAATCGCAGTTCCTTATGAGGCAGGATGGAGTAGGCTGCCACAAAGATAAAAGCAGGAGTTACCAGAACCTGCAATCTCTTATCCAGTGCAATGCCAAGAGGGACAAGAAGGATACTTAAGCCAAGGGCTCTAGGGAGTGCTGAGTACCAATACCACAAAAAGGGTGATGTCTTGTTTTAGTTAAAGAAATTATCTGGGTGTGTAGATACTTAACTCTAAGTTGCATTTGTGTCAAAGCATGTACCTGTGTTTAAATAAATATATATCTATTTATGTGTATATACAAGGGCTAGCTCACATGCTAGTAAGTCTGGTCAAGTCTGCTTCAAAACAATTTGTAGCCATACAAAAGGATACTCCATAATTATGACTCTGGTTCTTGTATGTATTAAACCAGAACACTTCTCCTTCAGGCCATAGAAGTCGTTTCCAGAAGAAAGAATCTATGGTCAGTGTGGTGACAAGGCACAACAGTCCCGCTGGTATTGCATATTTCAGGAATCTGTAAGGATGAAGTAATGCTATGAATGGCAGTAACAGTATGTGTCCATAAAATGGCAAAAAAATCAAAATAGGATGTAACTGTTAATAGCCAAGTAATTAATGGTTCTTGAGATTATGCTTATCATTAGAAGGGCTTTTGATAGCCTACAGGAGCCAGGTGATGGGGACATCTCAAGAAAAAATCTGGATGAGAGATGGGTGATGGGAATATCTCATCATGAGATACTGTTGCTAAGTGGAAGGTGATCAGGACATTATACCATGAGCACACACAGCTCTTTTAAGAAGATTTAACTCAATGAGCTTTTAGGAAGGCACTCTAGCATTATTTCCTTCAGTAAATGAGGGTACAATGTACCATCCATGAGCCATGCCTGGAAGCATACCAGTGAGGATACAATTCTCATGCACAGGAACCTATTCCTAGTTGCTGTGAGGTGCAGGTATGTTACAGAAAACTGATTAGTACAAAAATATCCAAAAATAGCACAAATAACAAAATGCTACTTATTGTTGTTACTGCACAGACATGTAGACTATTTAGAGAGAAAATATGATGTCTGCTCAACAAAAACATACTAATAACATCTTGATACAGCATAACAAAAGAAAGTATAGATATTGGAAAATGGCAAAACACACACAAAAAAAAATGCAAAAAATGTATTGCAAAAGGGAGGCAAGAAGTCTTGATACAGCACAAGTTTTCATGTGAGTAAGGTCTACAAGCCTCACGCCCAGGAAGAACCTTATTTCAGTAAGCTTAAGGGGGCCGTCGCAATGAAATTTTTCAAAAAAAAATAATAATAATAATAAAAAAAAATAAAAAAAAAAAATAAATAAAATAAAATAAAAATAAAAAACTTTGGCAACCCTGTGACTTAATATTTTTGCGAAATACGTAAAAGTAAAGGGGTTATAACTAAATCTCTGACCTCCCCGCCTCCTGCTCCAATGTTTACTTTGTCGCGTCAATGCAAATGTACTCGACAATTTTTTTTTTTTTTTTTTTCAGATTTTTTTCAATTCATTTTGGCATTCTCTGGTGGCATGCTGGCAACTCTGTTTACCCATCAGCTGATCATCAAGACTGGGACTCTGGGAGACAAAACTCCACCAGAAAATCAGAGAGAAATATTGCCACCTCCTACCTCCAGGACACCATATCACAGACGTACACCCTCAACACACAGTAAGTATTTTAGTAATTAAAAAACGTAATATGATAGAAAATACTTCTAAATCACAGCTGCAGCAGTTGTTTATACATCTAAATACCTCAAGTGGTCAGGTTAGACCACAAAAGCCTGTGGTGACATGCGATATTTCTACAATCATGTGCAGTTATTGCCATTAGTACTTTGCAAAAGGGGGGGACCATGTACCAGCTACTCTTCAGAATACCATGTGAATGCCATAGAATGCAGCAAGATTGATGCAGAGATAAGAATTAAAAAAAAAAAACACAAATACAAAAAAAAAAAAAAAACATTGAGGGAAAAGTATCCTAAACTTCGGAGCCCAATATCTCAAAACTACACTTTTGTAAACAGTTTTCAACATTTTTTTAAAGGCTCCATAACTACTTGGGCAATTCTAAAGGGGTTTGGATCATTTGAAAGCTGAATAAATTTGTAATGTTTTTGTTAAAGCCAATTTTCATTTTAGGTAATATAAGTCCATATATTATATCTTTTGTTCATAAGACTGAACATTTAGAAAAAATAAATTCCCACTGAACTAAAAGGAAATTAAAATTTATGGTCTTTGCAAATTTTGGGTATTGCTATAGAGTATAGGTGGTATTTTTTTCAACAAGTTTGTTCAATAGATTAGTGCAATTTTAAAGATTTTGTGATTGTTCTTCTTCAATAACTTCATAACTTATTATCCAAACGATATGAAACTTGGTGGTGTTTATCACTTTATATGTATGTATAACATTTTTAAAAATCAGGAAAATACAATCATACCTGACGAACTTCATTCCCTAGCGTAAAGGCCCCCTTAACCCATTAACGCCAGTATATCTTTAAGCCGAAAATAAAAGATTCCGGGTGGCTACAAAATTGGCGGGCGGAGCTAACCCAGAGTCTGTCCGCCTGCCGGCTGCGGCCCGCTGCTGCATCGGAGCGCGAGCCCCGATACAGCGTCACACTGGTAGGACGCCCGGCAATGTTTATTTTTTCGGGTGTCTCATATGTGGGACACCCATCATTTGTGGGTTAATGTCCATAATTTGGTCCACAAGCTAGCTGCAAGGATCCTGTATCCAAAAGGTTAAGTGATATCATAAGCAAAGGATCTCTAGAAGCCCAGAATACATATGAAATTTCCAATACAAAATATTGTCCTGACCTTATTTTTTCACAACTGACTTTTAACAGGTTTATGCGTAAGACTTCAGAAAAGCAGATAATCTACACCCTCTTCCTTGATATTACCAAAACATTATAATCTCAAACCTAATAATGCAAATAAAGCACTGTATTATTAACCCCTTGGATCTGGATGACGAGACCATCATGTCAAGAAAAAATACGGATGACGGGGAAATCACGTCAATAGCGGAGGGACGAGTGACACCGCATCCATGTAAAAAAAAAAAAAAAAAAAAAAAAAAAAAAAAAAAAAAAAAAAAAAAAATGTGGCTGAGGGGTGTATGACTCTGCCATCCTGTCATGGGACAGACTTCATTCTCGCGCTGAGACAGATTTTTCAAAAGGAAAGAGAGGACTTAGATGAGAGGGAGAAAGTAGGGAGGTGATTAAAAAAAAAAAAAAAAAGGGAGGGGGATCAGGGTTAGAAGGGAGGGAGAGTAAGATTGGGGGAATTTGCAGAGCCAGATGTTTTTGAAGGAATTAGGAATACTCTGATTGGCTGCAATAAATGGCGGGAATCAAATAACAGCAAAAATTTTGTAAAAGGCGGTGTATAAGGTCATAATGGAATCACTTTTCTGTAGCAGTCCCTGGAGATGAAACGCTCTTTCAATTTTCAAAAGTGAGGCCCTCCCCTCTGCCGTTTCCTTCGATGATGACCCAGACGATTCTCGGCCGTCCACCTCGGTAAGTTTTCATCATATTCATTTTGTCTATCAAGTGCATTTTTTCTGAATACTGTTATATGTGCCTCGAATATTGAGTGTCAGTATGCCAATACTCTGTTTCTTTTCAGGCAACATAATTCAATAGTGATAGGAGGAGGTGCACTTGGCCACAGGTGCTAGTCATCGTCATTCTTCGTCTTGGGAGTCCTCGTTCATAAGATACATTGAGATATACATTGTATGAATACATATGTATGGTAAAGCTGCTTCTATATCTGTATTGTATGCATGTATACATTTTTTTTTTTCATGCATTACAACTGCCATTGTCATCATCATCGTCAGTGTCTTCTGATGACAGTTTTGACAAGTACACCCTGAGGAGCACAGAGGCAACGCCGGTGGCTCTGATTCCGAGGTAGATTTAGTGTTGGAGCACGACACGTACCTTGACTCGGAGGAGCCACTGTCTGTCATCGCCCATAGGTTATGGCAACAGAAATCACTTGGGGTCAACGTTCCTGGCCTGGACACCTCTTACCTTTGCTACATATGTCTGTGAGTTCATAGGTCGCCTTATGGACAACTCCTAATGTTTTCTTTCTTTTTTCCAGGCCCAAGTGCAGGTTAAGTCAGTGCTTTTCAGATATATACAGGCCAGGACAAGGAGGAAATTCCTGCATCCTCGAAGGTTGTCATCGACTTGTTGGGTGCCGCGGGTCTGTTTGGAAAGGGGTATGAGGTGCATTCTGATAACTAGTACACTTCTCCATGCCTTTTTCACTACCTGCAGGCTCAGGGCATCAATGCGGTTGGGACGGTTCATCTCAACAGCAAGCACATGCCGAAGGACCTGCAGGTAAAAGCATGTGGTAATGTGGACTATTGTAGCTCATGGACGGGCTTGTTGTGCTTTCAGTGGTATGACAAGAAGCCCGTCACGATGCTGTCAACGGTCCACAAGAGTGAGATGGTCACAATCTTAAACTGGCATGGTCAACAGATGGTCAAACCTCATGTGGTGGTTGACTACAATGTTGGGATAAGGGGGTGGCCTTGAGCACCCAGCTGGCTGAGTCTTACCTGACCACTCGCAAGTCCATCAAGTGGACAACAAAGATCCTATACAAACTTATTGAGATGGCAGTCATTCCTTCTTAAAAAATAAAGCATTGGGAAAGAATCTGACTCAGTGGGCCTTCAAGAGGGGGCTCATTCGTGAGCTCCTGCAGGATTTCCACCAATCCTCGAGGGAGGAACGTACCATCCATCAGCCAAACCTGGGAGAGGGCTGTCTCCAGGGAGGACACTTTGTCCATGCACTGGAACAAACACCTGGCGGCAGATATCACCTCTGCAAGGTGTGTTACACATGTGGCACACGCCGTAAACAAAATATATTTGTGGCCACTACAAAGTGGCTCTTTGCATTATTGGTTGTTTTCAGACATACCACACCCAAGAAAACTATGCATGATTTACATAGATAAATAAAGAAATATGTCTAAACTATTTGGATACAGAACATGGAGTCTTCTCAACAAAAACAGTGCATTTCCATTGTGATGAAGCATAACAAATTACAAATTTAGCCTTCGAAAACTTGTAAACAGTAAAATAGTTTTACATAAAATAGTTTCATGTTCTTTTATTACTGCCCCATATATGCTACATCAAACAACAACAAAAAATCTATAACTCTCTTCATATAGTGCAAGTAAATTATTATTTTTCAAATCTAACTAATACGAAAATATAAAAAAGAGAACACTGATAACACAATATTACCTGCTTTGCACAAAGGATAAACTATTTGCAGGGATGATATGGAGTCTGTATATTGATAACAGGCAATTAGCCACATGATACAGCATAAGGAAATAAAAATACAGTTTTTCGTAAAATAACAATAAAGTAAAAAGGCATCTAAAAAAAAACTTGCTAAGAGCGGGGGCACGCAGGCTTGACACCGCGCGTGAATACTCATGTGGGCCTAATGCCCGGGTTTTGGCCCGCACAGGAGTGGTAAAAGAGCTGAATCCAAGGGATTAAAGGCACCTAAAAGAAGTAGTGATTATCATCCTTTCACTAGTTTGTAATATGTCTTGATCATTAATTCTAGGGAAAAATAAATATCCTGAATATCCAACAAAATGCTTACCAACTTTACAAATATATTTAATAAGTAGAAAGAGAAAGAGGGAAAAAAGGTACAGACTCATGGCAACACAAGTTTATAGTGATCCATAAAAGTGTATGCCTGGGGGAAACAGTGACCCAGTAAAAGCTGTTGATATAAGTAGCATGGGTGCTGCTTCCCCAGCAAACCACTTCCTTACAGACAGTTTGCAAACATCAGTTAAACATGTAATTCCTAAGGTTTGGGGGCTTGGGCTGGTATTCACAAAAGATCATAGTATTTCCTTTGTCAAAATGAAGGATTGTTCTAAAATGTTGACTCCAAGATCATGATAGAATTTGTCATGATGTCAGGTAAACAGGTAATTTTCTTTGGTTTAAGGCAATATCAACAAAATATCATAGAACTAAGGACTGTTCTAAAAACAGTCTTTCACTTCAAGATATTCATAGAATTTGTCTGACTTGTTCTAAAGCCTGTCTTTAGTGATTTTGTCTTTGACTTGCAGTGTTGCCACATTTCAAAGTAAACATTAAACAAAACTAATATTCATATTCCAAAAGACCCTACAATAATAATGTAACAATGATGTAAAATTACAGTGAGTCTCAAATATATCATGACTGCAATATCACATATGTAATACCTTTTAAATGTTTTTGTGGCCCCCTCTGTTGTCATTGCATCAGCTGAGAAGGCATGCGGGGCCTTTTGTGTTTATCTAAGAGAAAACTGCAGTAAATATGGAGGAAATGGTTTAATTAATATATAGCAAAAAGTATATAACAAAGCCATGAAAGTTTTTCATATCATTACTGATACAAAGGAATCTACAATAACTCTTAGAGCGCATCATTATTGCTGACATCACCTAAGGATAATCTGAAGACAGTCCTTATAGTGTGGGAAACCTCCAGACCTGTCTTAAACTTCATTCAAGTAACTGAAAAAAACTGGGTGTCAAAGAGATTTTTAAGAACAGTCACAAAGTCCCAGAGTCAAGAACTTTTTTCTGTTAAAGAAAACTTTTGGCATCTATGATCTTTCAAGAATACCACCCTTGCTTTCTTGCATGCAATCACCATCAATATCCAAATTTTCTAAAAGCCATATTCTAGGTTGCACACACCAGGTCTAAAGAGGGCAGTTATGTGATAGCACACTATCAGTAGCAACAACATTTGACATACAATTTTCCTGTTTACAGTGGAAAAAATCCCTGAATCCCTATATTTTACATATATGTATTTTGCTTGAAATAGTCCTGTCATATGAGAGGTAACTGAATTTTTTGAGAGATAATTTGTTGAAATTTCATCAATGGCAGACATAAAATTGGTATTGCTGCCAAGCAGCTAGTCTTCTTAAAGCAATTACACAAAGCAAAGATTCCCAAAACAAAAACAAAAAATTGAAAAAAATTGGCTTCCGTGCAGGTGATACGAAAATGCCACCAGGGAAATACCTGGCTGAGGGCCATGATGAGGGGATCTTGCCATCATAAGAATTTTGGCTGAGGGTTGGGGTGATAGCAATGACTCACCACAGGTGCATAAAGCTCTTGGAAGGTTATTAGACTCAGTGGGGATTTAGCATGGGGCTTCTACATTATTTCCATTGACAAATGAGTAGTACATATGAATGCAAGGTACCATCTGTGAGACATGACTGGTAGAGCACCAGCTTCAGTTAGGACACTATTTTCTTGCCAAAGATCCTATTCCTGCCTGCCATGACAGAAAATTAAATATTACAAAAAAGAAAGGAAAAGAAAAAAAAAGTTACTTATTGTTATTATCATTACACTGACTTTTGGACTACTGAGAGATATGATATGGAGTCTGTGTAAGGAAAACTGTCAATCACCATATGGATACAACAAATCAAATGACAAATAAAGATATTAGAAAATGGCAAAAAAGCTAAAAATGCTTATGCAGAAAACAAGATGACATTGCAAAGGGGAGGAAAGGAGTCTTGGCACCCCACAAATGTTTATGTGCACATGGCATATATAGCCTACTGCATAACATAATGCATCCTGCA